TAATGCAAACGACATACTAGGTATGCTGGATTATTAATTAATTCAGTATCTAGTCGTTGAAATGTCAATGGAAGGATGTTTCGATTCGAACAATATAATCCAAACATATGCTCTTAGAGCTTGGTCGGGCATGGTTGAGATCTGAGAAAAAACATCAACTAATCATCGCCAATCTCTGCTGCATATGATGTCTTTCGAGGGAATTCGCTCTGTGGCGAATAGGCCGTGGCAAAGATTTTTATCACATGGTATCAATGACATACAATCCATTATAATATAACAATTGCCATTTACATCTTAATAATTTGTCATTTGTCGTGCAATTAATGATAAACAAATAATTACATACACTTCAACATATATATCCTCATTCTTTCCATGCTAAGCCATCATTATTTAATCGGAAGCCATAGATAGATAATCGGTAACTTAGGAACTAGAACATATAAATCGACAACTTCAAAACATGCAACTTTATTTGGAAATCGACAGCTCAATCCATAGTTTGACAACCTTGAACCAGACGATTTTAGTCGAAATCGACAACTTGAAATGGGCAACTTTGGTCAGAAATCGACTTCTTCGAAATGGGCTACTTGAAGTTTGACACATAGAAATCAATAACTTGGATAATCGGTCAGTTATTTAACAATATGTAAGTTGATCAGGAAATCGATGTACTTAGAAAGTTTATTGGATTATCAAAATTGGCAAAAGACTAGAAATAGCATACCACATAAATCACGTGGTACAAGTATGACCAAGCTGATCATATATTTGCCTTTCAATCATTGTACTGCAATATGCATATGTTGGCCTTTCTAGCTAGGACTCTGTTATCTAGCTCTTCCTATATCTTAGTAGGATTATCAAATTAATTGAAGCGGCCCTAAATGGAATGAAATCGACCGCTTACACCCATAGGCAAGCCAAGCACAAATCAGACCTGTGCAAGCAATCGGCATGCATGCGTATAGAGAGAGACTTTTTACACCAGACTACAGTAGAACATCGCAAATACATAAAATGCATACAAGCTTAAGGCACTATGATCCGTAGAACTAGGAAATAAGTCCTGCCAAAAGCTTAAACAAGATGGCTTAAACAAGATGACCAGTCGGATGAGTCAGAGGGTCTTGAAATTCTGTTGGTTTACTCCACTTGAATTATTGCAAAGCTCACTTCCATATGCGGAATTTTCATCTGGGGCCATTGGGTTGCTTCCCATATGAGCCTAATGCAAGCATAGGATGACAATTTGTTAGAATTTGTACCATATAAAGGCGATGGAGAAAATTTAGAACAGAAGTAATCCTGAACGTCAAAAGCAATTCTACCATCACTTATGCTTCTTGGCAAAAAATGGGAAAAAAAAAGCTTGGAAATAAACTAAATCTATGTACTTTTATTTTGTGCAATTCCAATTGAAAATGGTAATGTACGGGGATAATGACACAAATAGTCCCTGAAATTTAGCCCAATGTGCAATTTGGTCCCTGAACTTTTAATTTGTTCAATGTAGTCCATGAACTTTGGCCTAATGTTTAATGTGGTCCATGAATTTTTAATTTGTTCGATATGGTCCCTGAACTTTTGGTGCATGTTCAATGTAGTCCTTGAACTATATGAAAATGTTCAATGTAGTCCGTGAACTTGAATTAATGGAAGGACTACATGGAACATTTTCATAAAGTTTAGGGACTAAATTAAACATGCATTAAAAATTCGGGGATAACATTGAACAAATGAAAAGTTCATAGACCACATTGCATATTGGGTTAAAGTTCAGGAACTACATTGAACAAATTAAAAGTTCGGGGACCACATTGAACATTGGGCCAAAGTTCGAGGACTGTTTGTTTCATTTTTCCTAATGTATGATAGAAACTTTCAATTTGAATTGAATGCAAAGGAGAGTTATTTTCCATATAAATTCATTCCAACAGGCAGTCAGTTTTGGATTTTGATTAAGCGAACAGCATGCTGGACAAGTTCCCACTATATTTTGATTAATCACTTCGGCCACTTTGTGGTTGCAGGAGGATGGCAGCCGGCGCCCAAATCTTGTACCGGCCTCGCCCGAAGGGATTGGAATCGGAGCTCTCTCCCTCTCTTTGCATTCACCGCTGCAGATGTTGATATTGGTAAGAGAATCATCATCCTTCATCTTGCTCGAATGGAAACGCGAGCTCAGGTTGTTGGACTTGGACCGTTGACATTATAATATTCATTGTCGTTGTCAGCGAATTCCAGCTCGACGCCAGCATCTTCGACGATTGTTGTGGACAATCTGAGTGTGTACATGCAGATCACAGATGTGGCATCGATTTCAGTGGATTGTGACATTTTAGACCGCTCGTTTCAGTTGTTCAGGGATTGTTGCCTGGCGACTTGCTTAAGGAATTGGAGTGTCGAGGCTCTTGCTACTGCTGCTCTGGTTCAAGCTATTAGGGAGGCACAAGAACCTAGAACTCTTCAAATGATATCTCAGGATCCGTTACTTCTAGATAACTTAATACATTGCTTTTTCAGTCAAACGTGTTTTTGTAGAAACAATCGATAGCATTTCTTCTGAAAGGTATAGTTGGATGCTGCTATGCATTACACTTGAAGTGTGCGCCTGAGGTTGATGGCGGTCCCTGCAGCACATCCCTTTTGTTTGCAGATGCTACTGTGGTGGATGTAAGACTTCATAAATCGTTTCGTGCGATTATCCTATAATGGAATGCGTATCTGCAGAGGAATCCATGTTCTGCATCTTATACAGCTGGTTTAGTTGGAACTATGCTGCTATGCAGTAGACTTCCTGTTCCTTTATCCAATACTTAGTCTCAGAAAGATCCCTGGTGATGTGTTGTGGATGAGGATGCTTATTTGCTCTCTAGGCTTTCAAAAATGTCTGTATCTTAATAACGGAACTTTATGCTAGGATAGGATGGTCTGCGTTTCTCTTAGGTTGAAATTTTTTTAATTCATGTTGATTTCCACTGTTTCTTGGCAATTAAAAGTGGATCTTGGGACTAATTACACAAAGAGGGTAGGCTAAAAGTATGTTCTGCTATTGGAGAGACTGATGAATAAAACCTTGACAAACCTTGATTGTAACGATCTGATCCGATGAGGGTGGGGAGTGATCTTCGGGGCCAGAAGGCTCGAATAAGGAGCGGTCAGGCTTCTATGATGGCAAAGGGAACAAGAATTGAATCGAACTGCACACCTAATAGGGAGAGAAAGTGCCTGAGATATGTGTGTGTGTGAAACCTGGAATTAACTCACGAAAGCACATTTTGACATAAAATGGCTTTGCTGTGAATCTCCAAAGCTAAGCTTGCCTAACAAGATGGGTGACCTCCTGGAAAAGTGCCTGCCTATATGTCAAAGGATAAAATCGTGAGGCTCGGAATGGGACAAATTAAACCTGGACAATATCTCGAGTGAGTTTAGGAATGTCACAATATGGTATCAGAATGGGACTCCCTCTAATAGGTGTGTAGTTCGGGGACGAACCACATGAAAGCTAGTGGGCCTATAATGACCCAGTCTGACGAGGGCGAGGAGTGGTCGTCGGGGCAGAGGGCGAGGACAAGGAGCGGCTCCTAGCAGGCTTCTAGAATGACGAAGGGAGTAAGAAGGAACAGAATTGCACACTTACGAGGAGAGAGCGTGCCTATATATATATATTTATGTCTATGTGCGCCTGTGAAATCTTAAATTAAATCATAGATGCGCTTTTTGACGTAAAACATGCTCAAGCTAGAACACTACCAAGATTGGTAACCTCTTGAGAAAGTATTTGACTGTGCGCCAAAGAATAAAACATTGAGACTCAAAATGGGATAGGCCAAAATGAGCAATACCTCGAGTGGTATCTCCCGTTTGTATCATGCAAGATGAAAGAAATTGGCATCATGTGTAGACATGGCCACTAATCATGTGCGTGAAATGGTCTTTGTCTAATAGTTATACGTCCACTCAAAATCAGCTGTCGGTGTCGAACTCTCTCTTGGCTGTTTGGACCACAGCTGAGACAGTGGTCCAGGAAAACACGCTGCTAGCCACACACCTCAACCAAATACAACTCTATTAGTACATCTTTTCCGCAGGCCAATTGACTTTCAGAAGGTTATCGGTCATATCTATGGCATTAACAGTCTCAAAACCCGAAGATAGGTCTTCGTACATAACAACAGAACATATGTGCGCTCTGCAGACCTTGCGGTACTTAGGAAGAAATTAATGAGTTTTCTCTTGCCGGCATCAGAGAACATGTTATGGGATGCTTAATGATTTGCATCGTTGGTTGGAGCACAATTTGCATTCTTTGATGATTTTGTCGCACTTCTTCATCGTTTATATCTTTCTGGTATCTTCTAGGAACTTGCTCCTAAGGGAGATCTGCCACAAGTTACTTGTGTTCCATGTTCTGCCGGTGTTAATGCCCTTTAATTACAATCTTTAGAGCCTCTCAGACTTTCTTCATTTCCTTCATGGGCATCGACGTGAACTTCCTACTATATTCTTTTGCCTTTGTTTTTATCTTCTGCATTTGCGCTCGACAAAGAGTGAAGACGGTTCCGTATCATCTCGAAATTAAACTCATCGCAAAATGTTTGTAGGTAGACCATCCGAAATGAGTCCACCATAGCTATCCCTTGGAGACATTTTGAAGGTGCTCCGAAATACGCCTTCCCCGATCTACCCAAGCAAGTCAAATCGCGACAAACTGTACAAATTTCTTTGTTCTTTTTTACTAATATTCCTTATGCTGTAAAAACTTTGGACAGACGAGAATGTTGGTGTTTCGAGCAATAAGATTGCAATTTACTATTCGACATTCTTGAGTTATTACAGTACCATATCGAGGCAGTTACTTGAATGAAAAAGAATTCCAAGTGTCTCGGGCCACAAGAAAGAACCCAGACTCGGTTCAACAAAGCTTCTTCGCAGGGGAGGTGGGCCGCCAGAACGGGTGATCGGCCGGCCAATTAAAGAAAGCCCGGTCCACCCGAGTCTCGTTCTCTTTCTTGAATGTGATAACTGATTACGACAATGCATCTTTAACAAGCAAAACACTTAAAAAAAAAGTTCCAGTACCAGCACAGTGAGCTTAGTTTCTTTAGTAACTCTGGCTCTTTGTGCCTAGTTTTATCCAACATCAGAAACCTCTACATGGCTCTGCTCTGCTCTGATTTAACGCTATGACCTTGCCCAAAATTGGAAAGTACAGAAAGAAAGGGAAGTCAAAGGAGCATGCCAGGATGAGATCGAAAAGTCGAATGGACAATCCTCACAAAAACCTCGGTGGCATCGGGATCGCGTCACTCATTCCATGTCACCACCCATCCCCTCAAAGGCCTCGTACTCGTAATCCTCGTCAAGATTCTCCATTGTTTTTCCAAAGACGAAGGATTTCGTTCCCATCGTCGTGAAAGGCATGAGGCCGAAAGCTCGAGCGGTTTTGATCTCCCTCGCAACCTTCCTCCGTGCCTTGGCACTGATGCGAGTCTAAAAAAAGGGACAAACGGCAAATAAGCAAGAAAATCAATTTGCAGCTCAATTAATTTCCATAACCTAACTGATATTCGAACTTTACCGAGCTCCTCTTGATTATTATTCCAGCAGGAGTTATGAAATTTGCAAGGAACCTCACATTCTGCAGAAAATTGAACATTGAGAAAGTAAACCTCTAAGCAAAAAGATACCAACAGAACATGACAAACCATCCAAGCATGCAAAAGTTTCATGCAAGCTATGTCAATCATATATTATTAGGCGAACTACAGCGCTTTGAGAGAACTCATGCTGACATCGGGATAAACTCTGGCAACGCCTAAATTTATGTCATTCACCCCTTGATCTGAATAAGAGGTTTGTTCTTATAAATACACGGGATTACATTACAGAAACGGGATTGTGGCCTTCCTTCACTCTGGGGAAAATGTCCGCTCTTTACATCAGTAGATCGGGCATCTAGGCAAGATTGGTCATTTAACAGCTAGAAAAGCAGAACTAAGCGGAGCAAAATGGAAGAGAAATGTCAATGGAGCACAAATAACCAGAGATACGTATTGCCTGTAATACGAGTCACATGGTATCAATGGCCCCTAGAGATATACAATCTCCAAAGAAATATCAACCAATTTAAGAGCTTCAGCATGATGAAGGTATTAACCATATCACATGAAGCAGGGAACATGCTTGAAAAAGGTTTAATCAGAAGGGTATGAATGATTAACAGTGATCATCAAAGCACCTCTGGCTCATAAGAGGTGTTGTCAGTTCAACACAGCTGGTATACTATTTGACAATTCTAAACAAAACAATATGATCAACCCAATGCTTACCCTGAAATCAGCTTTTCTCAGCACTTCCGCTGTAGTAACTTCAAATTCCCGTCTTTTGGTGAACTTGCGCACTCCTGGTTTCTTAAGATCGAGATCCTAAAAGAAAGATAGATAAAGCACAGCGAAAATAAGGACACTTAAGTGAAAAGCAAAACACTGCAGGAGAAAGTTAGCAACATACATAAAGGACAACAGGTTTATGTATAATAGCTAAAACCATGACCCAATCCCTATAGGCCAATTAGTTTCCTGCCAAACACCGACGAAGTACATAATTCATAAGTAGCAACAGATTTCTCTCCCAAATCATAATATCCGGGCGGCGTGTACAGCACAAGCAGATTAATATAGAAGATTCACATAGGAAAACCCTCCACAGAGAGTAACCCTGAAAAATTAAAGTTATTCACAACAAAAATGCAGTTGATCAATCAAAGAGCATGAGAAAAAGGTAGATATAGTGCACAACTTCTAATCCCTCAACCACTTTATGAGTTTAAAGTGTTTTATTGGACTACATAGAATCACACTACGGTACCTTTATATCATATTTCATTCCCGGAAAAAATTTCATATCAGGTCTAAATGAATAATCTTCTTGTTCTACTTCGTCCCAATCGAACTTGAAGTACATGGCTTCTTTCTTCAATCTCCCATCCATACCATCTGATAATGTATTTAAACTATCTTGTAAGCCATCAAACATCCGGAAGCTATTATCTTCACCATTCAGTCTCGAACCATATCTGGCCTTGTCAATTCTGTCAAACTTCTGGAAAAAAGCATCAGTTTTTGAATCACTTCCAGAAAAGCCACCAAATATCCGCCGCTCAAATTCATCAGCAGGCTCGGATGAATTAGAACTTTCTTTGTCATTACTGTTATGACCTGCAGAACAATACATCAACAGGTTGGCAGAATCATAAAAGGAACAGGGCACATTATGAAGTTTTCTCAAGAACACCCATGTAAGAGAATTGCAAAGGAAACCAAACCTACTTCACAAATCTGTTCATGTAGTTTCATGTTGAGTATTTTCAAACATACATTATATCGATGGTTGAAGATTATAAGTCAGCCCCAGAAAAATAAGACAGGCCGCTTGTCAACAATGTTTACAACCAAACGCCGCTGAAGAAAGGAGAAAACAAAGAGAACCTTATTATAACAAGCAAACTCCCCACCAAGTAACGAAATGACTCACCCACAAGACTAAGCTTGAATTTTACACCTACACCATTTACAGTAAAAGGTATACACTTTGCATAAGCTTATTTCCCATGACAACAAGGAAGCTTAAGAAAGAAGAACCGCAACCCAATCCAACAAACAACACTCTCCATTCAAAACAAAACCAGACAAAAGAGCGTTCCCAACAATGCTTGGACCACTCCAACAGCTCGGAACGGCACCTGGACAATGAAAACCCAAAAGTACCTGACGCATTCACCGAGAGGGTTCTAGCTAAATGGGGACGATGGAATTGCCGCGGTAAGCCATTACTCAAGGATCGCATCACAGCCCGAGAAAGCGTCATCTCTCCTCCTAACACCAGAATCTTCCGTGTGCACGGCCGTTAAAGTCGGCTTTTGGACTCTTGTGAGACTGAATCACAGCAAGATCCTACAAATTTGAGCAAATCACTATCCAAGAAACGCGAATTCTTTACATTGCTCACGCCGACAGAGTTATCCGACATCATGAGGATTGCGAAGTAACTTCCAATGCTAGAAAAACAAACGAATTACCGACAGCTTAAGGTAATAGATGGCCACAGTCCCATTCAATACTCAAGAAACTAGAAAAAAAAGAACAAATTTAAGCTCAAGAAACAGCACAGGGGAATGAAACAGGTCAAAGTTCGCAAATTTATGGAGAAATGACGCCAAGAAACGCCAGAGATCCAAACCCAGAAACGAGAAAGCCCCCAACAAAGCGAACGAAAAAGAAGAAAGTGGAGGAAAGGCAAGCAAACCCAGCATCCCAAGCGGGCGTCGCCGATTTGGGCGGTGACGGCGAGCGCGCTCCCAATCGATTTCGAACAGAAGTGGCTTCAAACAGTGTCGAAGATCAACGCAGAACACGAACCATGCGTCGGTTTTGCAGAGGAATGGCTCGAATTCGGGTGCAATTTTTTGGGGGGGCTGGGGTTTAAGCTGGGAACTAGGGTTCTTTCTTTTTAGCTCCAGGAAACAAATTTCAGCATATAGAGAAAAATATCACACAAATTATTCTGTTTTATTGTCGTGAGAAATCCAATTAATTTTAGGTTAATACCGACAAACTCATTTACATATTTACCCAAAATTTAATCCTAAATCGATGCACATGTGATAATTTTCCGTTAAATTTTACTATCAATTACATGTGTTTGTCACAGGTGTACCGGTTTATAATTTTTCGTGGTATTAATCCAATTTAACAGAAATTAACGGATGGTAAAACTTGTCACAAATATACTATTTTTAGGTATTTGATAGTCAACAAATTAATATGGAGCAAATTTGTCACAAGTAAAGCAGTTTGGGATTTTTTATGAACAAAAAATTAATTTTTGAGTAAATTTATCACAAGTGTACAAATTTGAGGTTTTTCGTGGTTTTAATCCTTAATTTGAATAGAAAAGTGAGATAATTAATATGTATTAGGAATATAGGAGATAGCTTATTCCTGATTAATGTATATGATTTCCGGGGCCCAAAAAGATATACATTATTTCCTACTTTTAAAATCTAACTTAATACAAAGTTGCAGAGATACAGAGAAATTGAAAGTTATGCAAATTGGAAAAAAATAAACAAATGAATTGGAGCAATTTTAAAATGGTAGCTCGTTTTATTTCGACATCATTTGGTAGGACGAGGCAATGGAAATAAGATAAGAGAAATCGAGATGAATTGTGAAGAATTGAAAGATGATTTAATCAAAAGATTTTTGCTTTTTACGACATGTTGAAATGACATGTTTTGTTTTTTTTTTGTTGTTTGAGTTTTTTCTGTTTGTAATAGCAAAGTAAAGAAGTGTGCTTACCAAATCAAATTTCTTAATGAGGATAATTTTATTTTTGGTCTTGCAACTTATGTCGGTTGTGCAATCGAGTTCTTTGATTCTTAAATTGTCAAATCAAGTCCTTTTAACTTGATATTGTTTGGGCATTAAAATGAAACAAGAATTCTAAGGAGAGAACGAGGACCGAATTGTTGGAGTTGGCGAATACTTCGGGGACCCTTGTTTCTCACACCGGGTACGCCCACGTGAGCTTAGGGAAACTGAAGTGTTATCCCAGACGACATGTGACCCCTGCGTGTGGAATGCGGGGTTCGGGGGGACACGGGTGTCTGTTGCCGGTCGGCGAGCGGGGTTTGAGGGCGGCGTTGCCCCGACAAGGTTCCCAGTGGCCGGTCGGCGGGCTGCACCAGGGTGGCGGGCGAGGGCTCGGGCGGGCGCCCACGCATTCAACGGGGTTTGAGCTTTTATTTAAGGCTGTCGTATGGTGCGAGATTAAGATATTTCGTATAGGTTTAGGTTTTGGGCCTATTTGGGGGCACATATATATTTTGCTCGTTTTTCTGATCATTGTAACAAGTTAAGTGGCTGTAAACCGAAAATATAGCGAAATCTCTTTGCAGGACGTAGCCCTATTCGATGGTGGATCTGGGTAAATTCGTGCATCGTCTATTTTCTCTAATTTCTGCGTGATCGTTCTGTTTCGGTTCTCGATACATCCCTTCACGAATCACGTCTCGAACGGTGCAAGTGAAGCAACACGAGCATGCTTGCCCGAGTCGCAACCGTAAGAGGAGGTCACGCCTCAAGCAGAGGTGACAGCCGCATGGCATCCCCGACCCTCAAAATGAGGATCGAGAGCTAAGGACCCTCTCGACTCCGGTGAGGGCGGCTGATGGTGGTGATCGACCGACTGCTGCCACAATTGATCTCAGCCAATGCTCTAGAGTGGGTTGGTGGCGGCCGCCAACGTGAACCACCGGAACCACAAAGCGGACCGAAGTGACTGACAAACCAAAGAAAAGTAAAAGAGAATTTGACAGAAAAAGAAGAAGAAGAAGAAGAATTTGTCCAGCCAGGTTGGATTTCAGGAGTCGTGGTCAATGCGCTTTTGTTATTATTTGAGTTTTATTGTTTCAAAATGTCACGAGGAATAGCAAAAGTAAAGAGGTGTGCTTATCAAATCAAATTTCTCAATAAGGATAATACCATTTTTGTTGGGGCTAATTTAAAAAAAAGCAATAACTTTACTTCGAGCGATAATTTTAATCCGAATTTTTCTTTGTCTCAATAAAAAAAAACGCGAACTTTTACTCGAGTTCAAAATCTGGTCCCTGTAATTTAAAATTTTCACGTCTAAAAAGAGGGCAGGGGATGAATCATGCCTCGAGCGCAAGTAAAACCAAACAAGCATGCTCGCTCGAGCCGCGACCCCAGGCAAAGGTCACGCCTCGAGGAGAGAGGCGACGGCTGCACGGCGTCCTCGGCCCTCGAGTGAGTATTCCAGAGCTGAAAGACTCTCTCTCTCTCTCGCGACTCCGGCAAGGGCGCGCGAGACCAGCGGCGGTAATCGACCGGCCAACCGACACCGCCATCAATCTCGGTCGATGATCCACAGTGGGTTGGTGGCAACCAACCACCAACGTGAGCAACTGCAACCACAAGGCCGAAGCGATTAACAAACCAAACCCAAAAAAAAAAAAAAAAAAAGAGAGAGAGAGAATTTAAAAAAAAATGAAAAATTAAATTTGTCCAGCCGAGCTGGATTCCAGGAAGTCGCGGTCAACGTCGCCACCCCGAAGCTCGTAAGCGCCCACGTCAACAACCGTCGCGTAAAACGCCGACCGACGGTGACGGTCACCACGCACCGCAGTTCCAGAACCTTCTTCCCCTCCCCTCGCCACCGACACGTCACCGGGGCGCCGTGACCCACCCGCGGGTGACGCTAGCGCCTCCCCCCATCCTCCCCACTCTCGCCTGCCTTCACGCAACTTCCCCGAGGGCCGAATCCCCTCTTTCTTATCTAATCTTTATTCTAATTTAATCATTAAATTAAAATAAAATAATTAAAAAAAAAGGAAACCCTTTTTCTTTTTCTCGTTTTTCTTACTTTATTTTTTATTATTATTATTTTTAAATTTCGGGGATAGTTTCCTTCGTCTCCTCCTTTACCTTTTCGCCTTCAAAGCCAAAGCCCCCCCCCCCCCCCACCCCCCACAAAGCTGCGATCTTTACTCCTCCCATTCGAAATCCCAATCCCCCCGATCTCTCTCTACTCTCTGCTCTCTCTCTCTCTCTACTTTCTCTCTCTAAAAACCCTAGCTGACGATCGGCGGGACGTCCATGGGGCGCGATTCATTGGCGAAGTTGCTGGCGCCGGGGTTCCGGTTCCACCCCACCGACGAGGAGCTGGTCCGGTACTACCTGAAGCGCAAGGTCTCCGGCAAGCCCCTCCGCATCGACGCCATCTCCGACGTCGACGTCTACAGATGCGAGCCCTGGGATCTCCCCGGTAAATAATTCATTCCCCCCCTTCCTTTTTTCCCGTACAGATCTTGCTCCCGCGGTTCCTGATTTTGTTTGATCGTCTGGGCTTCCGGCGCGTCATTTGGTGCTTGCTTGTGAATTTGACTCGCTGTGTGTTTGACCGTGAAGACTCGCGGCGGGGGTTCTTTCTTTCCTTTCTTATCTTTTGCTTTTTGGGGATTTCGGCTTAGGTCAAGTTGGGGATTTTTTTTGGGTTCTTGGGGGATTCGCCTGACTGGAATTTGCATTGGTAAGCGAATTATCTTGCTATAATTGAGACGCTGTGTCTTGGGAACTTCAATCGGGCAGTGCAGGGGAGGCCAAAAAAATCTTCTTCCTCTGACAATTCTTTATGACCCCGCCCCCGCCCCCCCGAATCCAACAAGCGGAATTTGTTGAGACGCCTTGCGATTTTGACTGAGCGCGTGAACTGATCTTTTAGGTGTGTGTCGTTCTACTTCGTATCCTGGACAAAGGTGAGTGGGATGAAATTCAGTCTAGCTTAGCGGTGTCGGGTTCTGGCAGTTTTTTTCTTTGGTGTGGGTCCACCCTGGAATCCTGGATAGTGAGGACCCATCGTCCTCTACATCCTGAGGCCAGCGTGGAAGCTCATAATGCGTCCTTGGCGAGGATGCGTGATCGATTCTTCGCCCTGAATTTGTTGTGGTTGTATTGACTTGGTGGTGAATAGTGAGATTGAGGAGCTATATCTCTGGCGGCACCTTCCAGTTTTGCTGGAACAAGCATCAAGAGGCGAGGTAGGTCTGCAATTCGATGGATGAGGCAAGTTAGCTGCGGCAATCGATATGCCGTATTGCTTGTCGAATGTTACAGTGGATGATATTACTGGACAAATGTTTTTTTCCATGTGGCAAAGCCACATCCGGTTGACTACTATCAAGTCCATGGTCTGAAATTATAATGGAAATGGGTCCATTGAGGTTTTAAATTCTGATTTGGTAGGAGGTGTATTTCAAAAAGTAGTCGTTTCTTCTCTTCTATTCCAATTCATTTTCTTAATGAATTCAGTCGAGGCAAACTTATTTTGATTTCATTTTTGATGTTCCAGATAAGTCGAAATTGAAAACTAGAGACCGTGAGTGGTACTTCTTCAGTGCGCTGGATAAGAAGTATGCAAATGGGTCAAAGACAAATCGTGCCACAGAGAATGGTTACTGGAAGACGACAGGGAAGGACAGGCCAATCTTTCATTACTCTCGAACAGTTGGAATGAAGAAAACTTTGGTTTACCATAATGGGCGAGCTCCACGTGGACAGCGCACTAATTGGGTTATGCATGAATATCGTCTCACCGATGAAGAATTGGAGAAGGCTGGAATTCCGCAAGTGAGTTTATTATGCTGTAAAATTGTTAAACATAGATGGCATTTTGTTTTTTCTTCTTGACATCTCAATTACTATTGACACTTAACTTTTTGCTTTTTGGTTGTTTGTCGGATTGTTTGGGTCCCGAAGGATTCATTCGTGCTGTGCAGGATTTTTCAGAAGAGTGGTCCCGGCCCAAAGAACGGGGAGCAATATGGTGCCCCGTTCATTGAGGAGGAGTGGGAGGATGATGATGTGGCTCTGTTTCCTGATCAGGAGGCAATGGTGGTTGTTGATGATGAATATGTTGAGGCAGATGACTTGGATCAGGTTCGGTTTTCTTGTGTTACTTCCTTCAACAATTTGGTGTCCATAGTGTCACAGTAAAATCACACTCCTATAGAAGGTATTAATTTAGCGGATGTCCAGATTTATCTGTAAAGGCAATTGGTTTTGTAATCACGATTTGGAAGTGGGAAAAGAGCGATTTTTCATGAAACTATCAGAGAGGGAGTGTAGAACTGAAAAGATGCAACCGACTTCCATGGACTTGATCAATTCACAATGGGCCTCCAATTATAGGTGTCTCCTTGCAGGGCTTACCTTTGTTGATTGTTGGCAATCTTTAGTTGAAGCTGTTATATGAACATAGGTTTTAAGGGTTCTCCAGGGTTTGAACCTTGAAACAGTGTACTGGTGCCAAAAATACTTCAAAAGTGTGGTAACACAAACGGCAGAGATATCTTCTGCATCCTGAGGGTAACAAGTTGGGAGACCTTAACATGAAGTCGAGGGAATTTTGCTTTCCTTTTCCCCTTGGCGCTAGAGAAAATCCTTCATTTACAGAAGCACCTTGTATTTTATGTCTTATGTTATTTGTTATTTTTTTTCTTTGTTAATTCTGTGTTTTATTTAGCGGACGGAATTGATTCTGTGTGTTGCAAGTGTAATAGTGAGCTAGATTGTTTAAACAATTTCACAAAAGGGTGACACTTCTTTTATTAAGTTATAGTACATTCTTGTTACAAAAGAATTATAGTCCTTCCCATGAAGAGAGAGAGAGAGAGAGAGAGAGAGAGAGAGAGAGAGAGAGAGAGAGAGAGAGCTGAAAGTCAGGAGATCTGGTCATTTGAGGGATAGTAAAACATGAATAAATTTGGCAAAGGCATTGTCGACTGACCTGGACCTACCCTCTTCTCTTGGAAATGGCGATGAGCCCCACGAGCAATAGAACTGCCCTCTAGGTGAAGAAATTTTCAAACTACTCCGGAGAGAGTCGATTTTCTAGCCATTGTGGGCATCCTGATCAATGCCTCAGGAAGATCCATATATTTTAATAGTATTCACATGACCTCATGTTTATACCTGGATCTCTAGATGCCACCGCCCAATATCTTAAAGTGATATGGAAAGCTTAAAATTCTAGAAGTGAGGTGCTCTATCACCATCAAGCACTTGGCTATGTAAAGTGAGGCTCTTTTTGGAAACTCTCTTTGACTAATTAATTGTATTAAGGAATACTAGGTGATCACCTTTGACGGGACCCAAAAAAATCAACTTGCACGATAAATTAATCCAGGCAGTTGTTGGATATCTTATGCAGTCCATTTCATCTGCTGGGCAGAAAATTTTGTCGTGTGCAGTTCAACCTAATTTTACAGCAGCCATGCATCATTCTTTGCTGGAGAAGTAGAGAATCAAGATGAGGACTTGACCTGTGCAATTTTAATGAAGTTCATGCACTGTCAAGTGTCAGCCAGGATTGGATAACTAGAAAAGAGGGTTAGAGGGTGGAAAATCAGAAGATACGTGTACGGTTAAGTTTTTCACAAGCAAGTGGCTTCCTGTCAGGGCAATATGAAGTTCTGTAAAATCTGCTTAGTCTTTGTTAACTCTCCTCACATCACGAGATTATTAAGTCCTTGCTTTAGCATCTATTGTACTGTCTCTTTTTCTCTTCTTTTTTGGGCTTGGAAGGTTGGTCCTGATCATTGTATGTTCTCGTGTTTTAGTTACTTCCAATTATTCTTCTGTCATGTGTGAGATAATATATGTAGGACTACTATTTTGGCTTCTTTCTTTGCCCTTGTTTACACAGAGCCTTTATCGGAGTCTCCACTTGCATTACCTTAATTCTTACACCATTTTTGTGTTTCAGAGTATTGATGTTGGAATTGAATCTGGAGATGCTCCAGTTCCTCTGAACTTCCATCATGGTGAGACAAGCCAGGGCACTGAGCACTCAAATGACCTCACTGAAGATGAGCAAAAGCCTCTGATAGAAACCAATGCAGTTCAAGCCGGTTCGCAACAGCAGGATGAGCAGTTCTTTGTTTTACCAGAGCAATACCGGAGGGAGATGAAAGCCATTGAGAAGGGATACATTGACCAATCAGATGATAATGCCAATCCTGTGGATGCCAATTACTTTCTCAATGGGCCATACTTAGATGGAGCTGAAGATCACCTTCCAGGAGATGAGTTCTACCTCCAGACAAATGACCTTGCTAATCTCCTTGGGGAGGATGCGGCAGATTTTGCTGTTGACGACTACCTAACATTCTTTGATGCAGATGATGAGAACGTCTTGCCATATGAATCCTCTCAACTTCCATCTGAAAATGCGCTTTCTGATCACACACTTAATGCCGAGGTAAGTCTGCTTCATATTTTGGAGAAGTACTGTGGCATTTCCAGTTGCCGCTCTATTGAATCGTTTGTCTTGCAGCATGTTAATGGAGGAAATGAAGAAGTCCCTCTGGCAGGAGGCAATCTTCCTTCAGAATCTTGCAGTAAGGACTCTGCGTCAACTTCGAAGCCACATTTGGATTCAAAGGACCCTGACGAAAGTAAGAGTTGACCTTTATTATGACCTGGCACCATCTGAAATATCTCCTTTCCTTTGCGTCTTTAATTGTCCCTTTATTTCTATATGAATTGCTTTTCACATTTGCCTGAGCATAATCTGGATTTATTCCTGTAGGTTTCAAGTATCCATTGATGAAAGCAGCCAGTCAAATGTTAGGCAGCTTCCCTGCTCCTCCTGCTTTTGCTGCAGAGTTCCCGGTGAAAAATGTGGCACTTCATCTCAATTCAGCTGCACAGCCTTCAAGTTCTGCTCATGTTACTGCTGGCATGATAAGAATAAGAAACATGAATTTGGTTGGCAGTGGAATGGATTGGTCAGTTGGTAAGAATGGAGAACTCAATATCGTTCTATCTTTTGGGATGTCCCAAGCTGATGTCAGCCCCATCAATTCTGGCCTGCTTTCTCGCAAGACACCATCAGTGGTTTCATGGAGCTGGTGCTTCTTTTTGTTCTTTTGGATTATACTTATCTCGGTCAGCGTTAAAGTCGGGACCTCTATCTACTCAAGGTAGCAGGATACTGGAAAAGGTGGCAATCTCGGCCACTGGAATGGAGATAGCAGATAAAAACTCACATAGGAATATACTATTCTAGTTATCTTTCTGGAGGACTCTGACATATTTTGCTTAAGTTATCCTATGTCAAGTGCAAAACTATTGCTCGGCCTTTTTTAATATGTACCGACGATGTTGAACCCCGATGTTGATGGGTATCTGTTGTGGCGTTTGTTGTATTTGCTACAGCCCATGGATAGGATTGGAATCATCAGATCAATGTGTATGTCAGCTCCATTTTTTCGTTCCGCTTGCTGTTTGATGCAGATGGATCGCCTCGCCTTCTATGACGCCTATGATATTATTGATTTACCTTTAGGTGGTGAATGCATAATGTTCTGCACTCATATTGTCGGGAGTATTTTGTGTATTGGAGCAATGCGGAAACAAGTGAGAGATGGAATATGCCGTGTTCGAGTGGCGTTGGGGGACAAGCAAGTCAAGAGTAGCCAGATGAGTTTTGATTCTGTTGAGAGATTTGAAGTCAGGATGAATGGCCCGGCTGTGGATTTTTCTAATGGCATGCTTGCTACACACGGATGCAAGGATGGGAAGGCGTCACCATCCATTTGCTCGGCCGCGGCAGTGGAATTAGGACTCAGAAGAAAATTGTTTCCGAGAGTATCCCGATTTATATATTTGAAATATTCTGTACAAGAAATCTCAAAAAGAAGAAGTTTTGGATCCGAATACAAGGTGACAGCAAACGCTGGTCCCGTGTTTTTCTTCACTAAGGATTTGACGAGACTTGCCACCAAAGTGTCGATCCACATTCCGTTGAATGATTTAGTGGCATATGCGCACGCCAACTGCGCCAACTACTGAAGCTACTGAGTCAGTCAGCTAGAACAAACCGATTACGTCCACTAACCAATTTGAATTGCAATGAATAAGTCGCGGCGATCCTACCAAACAATGATGATCTCCATCAAGCGATGGTCGCCAGTATCGGAAATTAAAACAGAGGAAAATAAAAGCTTAATAATAATCAATAAAGCAAAGCAACCCTTTGGCCAAACGTGCCATTTGGAGTTCAATCAGCAGCTTATGACAACAGATTGGCACAATGATACAACTGAGAATACAGAGTCAATGGGCATAAAGAGTCCACGGCCAAGGCCATATGAGAATAATTTTGAAAGCACGAGCTTTAACTTACACCGCAATACACCACTGTCCGCCAAAATTTTTTTTGCAAATCTTGTACATGAAGCTACCCTATCCACCCAATTAGTTTATTCTTCTCTTCGTCCATACTTCACATAAATATTAATCTTCTTCTGAGTACATATTCTGATATCGAACCTGACAGCTTGTTACTGTTAACAACCAGCTCTTTGCAGATTCTCCAGGGAAAAGAAAAGGCCAGGTATGAATGAATAGAATTACATCTCTCCAGGAAGCATAGTGTCCTCTGGCAGATCACAAAAAGCAACACCCTGAAAGAAAAGAGGGATTTGTAAATTATAAGCCAAAAGAAGGGTTTTCGAAGGAAAATTTACGATGTGGCTATCCAAGGCTTACCCCTCCAATCAGGTGAGCTACACATCGCCTCTCTGCCAGCAACTCGGCTTCAGTCTGCAGAATAACAGTTCAAGTTAGATGAAAAGTAGCAAAGCCGGATTGGTCAAATGAGAATCTAGAGTTTTTCTCATCAACTATTGATTAAAGTTTAAAGATCACGCAAAACTCTATGTTTAAGGAATCGATATCTGGAAGAATATTCACAGCCCCTCATGATGAGACCTTGTTTCCAAGGAAAACACGGGAAGACATTCATATCTTTGAAGAATTAGAGATTCCAGATTCCATTCTCATCACATAAAAAATGTCCGTTCTGCAAAGATTGTGCGCCTCTATTTCACTTAAGAACTTCCGAGCCGTTCAACAAGCAACATAGTAGGCCAACCGCTATGGAGAAAAGAGTACCTTGGTTATTCGCTTGAGAAGGTAGTCGTCAAATATTACGTCCTTCACAAGCTCATAATCACCATCTCCCTAAAAAAATGGGTAAGTATTTTATCAAGGATTCCAATGAGATATGGGCGTTTAGAAACCACTGAACGAGAAGATAAACCATTTACTTACCTTAGATCTGCATGGCATGCTGAATACAATGCCCTCGGCAATGCCGTAAGGGTTTCCATCAGTATATACCTGCGCATTCATTTATGCACAATAAGACCAGCAACTAACTGACATCACAACACACTAACTCCTAATGCTACTTAAGCAAAGAACTGGGTTTGGCGGTCACTTCTTACTGATCAAATCTTAGTAGTTGCATTGCAGGGGGATCAGTTAAGTTGTTTAAGACTAAAAAGCCATATCTAGGGGCACAGGGATGAAGTATTAATCTTTCTCGTCATGCATTGTCCTCATTCCCACGTTTCTCTGTACCGTAATCTTTCCAAAATGTTGGAAGTGCTACTTTCTGAATGAACAAACAGCTTCGGTAAACCAAGCAAAATTAAATAGAAAAACCAAACTGCATTCATTCAAAACAAAGAATTTTAAAAAAGAATTTAAAGAGAAAAAGAAATATACTCATGAACGTTAAGGACAGAGATACTCACCCCTGAAGAGAACCAATCACCCTCGGGCGTGGGAGTGACAAGAGACTTCATGGCATCAGCAATTGACACCGCAGTTGATGCAGCTGAAGATCTTCCCCACTTCTTAATCAACACCCCACCTCTCTACAGATCAAATCCCTACTTCTCTTTAGTAATCAAAGGTGAGATACAAAATTCTTAAAAGAGTCGAAATCTAATTATACTTGTCCAATACAATGCATAAAACTCATCTGTTTCTTGGATCATACGTTCTGGACTTTTTCAGTGAACTCCTCTTCTAGCCACTTGGGATCCGTGATCACCTCCTTGACTGGAAGCCCATTGATTCTAGCATTTAAAAAGTCCGGCACCTGGATATTCCAATAGATTTTTCTTCTCAATCAAAGATGAAACAAGGGTGTTTGTACTTCCACTTTCCTAGAGCAAAATCTGAGGAATGACCTGAGTTGTCGAGTGGTTGCCCCAGATGGTCACATTTGACACCTTATCATAGAATGCGCCTGCCTTGAGTGCCAGCTGCACAATATTAAAGCCAAGATTTTGTTTCAATTGATCATATTGTCAGCACATAACAAAATGTAAAATTCTTCACTTTAATGAGCATTCTTGCCTGGCATTTCGCACGGTTCTCATCCAAACGTGTTAAAGCATGGAAGTTCTTTGCAGGAATATTAGGAGCATTTTTTAAGCAAATTAACGCACTGCCAAAAGAATGAAGCATTCCATTAGGGGCTACAATAGAGCTACACTCCTCGTGTTGTCTCTAGAAACAAAGAGCAAAAATCGAAGTATAACAAATAATATCTTACTTGGTGTTACAGGGGTTTCCTACAACAATTACTTTGACATTACGCGAGGCAACAGCATTTAGAGCCTTTCCCTGAAAAATAAGTGAAGGAGATAGAATTAGTACCACCACCTGTTTCTTGAGATGTTCATAAGCGGTTATATGCAGTCCGCAAAAGCTACTGCCACGCTACCTGCTCAGCAAAAATCTGCCCATTTATGTCTAGTAAGCCAGCTCGTTCCATTCCAGGACCTCGAGGCTTTGCTCCAATTAGGAGAGCCCATTCTACATCTTGGAACACCTCATAAGGGTCAATGCTGATCTGCACTTCCCTCAACAATGGGAACAAGGAATCCTCCAATTCCATAGCAACTCCTGCATGCATTAACATATTATCTCAGGAGTAATGAAATGATGGTTGATCAAGAGAACAGCCACTTGTCTGACTGTGAGCCTGGACACGAAGAATTGTGTAGTATATAGATAAATTGAGCAACTCTGGAACTGATACTTTTCTTACACTAGGATTATATCATATTTCACTTGCCAATCAGAGAGGATGATGAAGGGAGTCCTATGAACAGGTCACCCCAATGTAGTCATCTTCCTCTAGTTGCTTCGGTACAAGTCATGCGATTTTGTACTACCTTGATACATGTGTCTAGAGTAGACCAAACAAATGTGCAAACATGCATACAGTTCTCGTAAAGTACCACCAGGAGTACTGAAATGACTGCATTCAACATAGACTGCACAATATGTCCGTGGAAGTGTCGCAAATCCTCTCAAAAACTGATATTTGTGCTATATGCGAGAAAGCAGGGATTCAATGGACAATGGATGTAGCATGGTACCATTTTGCTGACAAATTTTAATGGTGCAATCAAGATAAGCGTCATATGAAAGAACACTTACTAAGGACATTCAAGATAGTCAATTGTAAGATGGACCAAGGCACCCAGTGACATGTATGCTTGATCCCACATTCATAAGATATCCTCAGGAACTTCCGATTATGTATCGAAAACAGATATTACTGGATATACGTCCATGCACTATTGATTAAAAATGATAATATTTTCCAGAAACTTGAGAGCAAGAAGTAGCTCTCCATTCGGGGCACATACCTTCTAGAGCTTGGAAGGACCTTTCTGAACCCAAAAGTTTTAAAGCAATGGGTTGATCAGGACCAAAAACCTGACCTGATGCAAGCTGGAAAAGAAGGAAAAGTTGGGTCAATCTTCCAAAGTTGAGAACCAAAATAGATTTAGAGAAATCTTGTGTACTAAATTGTGGCAAAAGATGTAGCAGTAGTATAAATCTGCAGAAACAAACAAACTCATGAATTTTCTCCGCCAAACAAATGATTATATCTCTTTGTATACTTTATTCAGACCTTAAACACAATTTGGTCAACTGCAGAGACAAGTAGTGTCAACAGTACACAGAATCGGAACCGATATTAGAAAAACGAATAAAGGTGTCAGTTCGCTGGCATAGACAAGCACACTTATAGTGGGAAATTCGGTTGGCGTTGCTTCCCTGATTACAACTATTACAAACTTGTACCGTGTAATTTGTCCCCAACTACTTCTGCAAAGGAAAAAGAAAAAGCAAAGAATGGCATGCACTGAAATATTGTCCCAAGGAGCTGCTGGTGACAATTGCTAAATAACTCGTGCAATAATAGTTCCAAGTTTGCATTTCAATTGGCAAAATGTTACTAAACTGATGCAGTTAATAAAACAGCAATCCTCCCAATTCACACTTTCAGAAAAGGACCATTGATGCTAGCATCAACAAGAATTCAGTAAAATGGTTCAACAGCAGACCAGAATCAAACACGAGAGCAGACGGAGAATAATATCTACCAAGAGACTGCCACA